TTGAGATTTAATTTGATCTTTGAATTTGTGTTTTGAATCTGTGCTTTGGAGTCCAATGGGACAGTGATGTGTGAGCCTGGAGCTTGAAGCTGGGAGAAGTCTCTTCTCCCACTGCTTGCCCAGGACTGGTTCTTGGCCACTGATCTCTACTCTCTAGTGTCCTGAGTCCCACCCAGACTACCCCCTTGTCAACCCTGCCCTGTGACCAGGAGCCACAACCAGCTCACATTGATTGGGGCAGAGGCCCGCATCCCATGTCTGCCATTGCCCTCTGCTCTTGGCTGGGGTCTGGGTGGGAGTGTGGGAAGGGTCAGGTGCACACCCATGCCATCAAGGGCAAGAGCAAGGCTGTACTCATCCCAACCCAGCGCTAACAGCACTGTGGTGAATTCAGCAGGCAACTCAGCAGGAGCCTCTCACCCACCCCCAATCCAGGTATTGAGAGTTTCTCAGCATGGAAGTTAAAATCTCTTGGGGGTCTCACATCTATTGTGGGCTTGGGCAGCAGACCCTTAAGGAGGGAAGCTTGACTTCTCCACCTCCAGCCAGGCTCCTGCTTTATCATTTGCACTGAGTTCCACACATTATGTAGGTGGCTCTACTTAAAATCTTTATTTACGCAGCATCTCTTCCTATTGTTGACTTCATTACCCTTCTCCACACCCCCCAGGTTTAGAATCTCTGAGTTGTCACTGACTTCTCTCTGTGCTAGCCCAAGTGCACATGCAGGACATCTCCCGTACGTCCCCTGCTGTCCGTTCCCCCATTCCTGCTTTAGTTCAGCTGTTCATCATGGCTCTACCAGACCACTCATTACGGACTCCTCATTATTCTCATAGCTTTGAACCTCCTCATGTTCAATCCACTCAACCACAGTGACCAAGGCACCCAAAACATCTCTCTGATGATGCTAAAATGTTTTTAAGGGCTCCCCGTGGCCTACTATAAATGAAGCTCAGATTCTTTAGTCAGGTATTCAAGGTCCCTTCTTCTTTTGCCATCACTTTTGAATAGTACTTACTTTTGAACATTAATTCTATAATGTATGCAATACTTTGGCCAAATTAAACTACTCACTCTCCCCTATACATATTTTGGGCTTGTTCATCATCATATCACTGCTGAAGTCATTTTGCTGAACTTTGAACACTTCCCCTGATGCCACAACCATCTCCAACAATAAAATCTAACCCCTTTCCTAGTTCAAATGTCACCTCCATGAAGTCCTCTATCACGAGCCCAGTCACAATGTGACTTCATTTTCCTCTAACACTAATGCCATTTAGTTTGGGTCATTAAGTACAGCTTGGCATTAGTAGTCCATGAATAGGGCATGCCCCTTGACCGTAAGTACTCAGAATGCAAGAAGCTTGTCCTCTCACCTTTGTACACTCACAGGCCTCCAGTCGGAGCCTTAGGTATAGTGGGCACTCAGTGTGTGTTTGTTGGAACTAATGAATTAATGAATCTGTTGTGTAAACAGATTGGGTTTTCTGAAAGTCTGGCACACCTGCAACCCTTCTTCATCACCCTCCTTCCTCTTCTCAGGGCACCTAACAAAACATCCTGGCTGCTTTTCAAACCCAAAGACCATCAAACACCTGTATCATTATTTTCAACACTAACAAAAATATCATCTCACACTTTTTATTAGTGTTTAAAGTGCTGTGTTCTGTATGTTTAGAATAATCTCAAAGAGAACACCTGTTACTTGAGTGCTCTTATTTTCAATCTCTTGAGGGCAATTTTTTCATTACTAAATTAAAGTGGCTGTTTAATAACTTATAACTGTCAAGGGGGAAAAATAAATGGCAGCCATTGGGATCCATACTATGTACCTAAATTTTTTTTTCCTCTCATGATTCTTTATTTGTCTCCAAATTTCAAGTCTGTTTTTTAGGACTAATTAAAGAAAGTAATGAAAAATAATGAAATAAACTGAAGAGTATTTTTGCTCTCAAAACTTCCATTCAACTTTAGTAGTTCATTAAATTATCTATCCTTGACTCCAGAATGCCACGCTTGTTGTCATAATCTCATAAGTGTGTTCATTGCCTTTGTCTCACCCATATTCTGAACCTAATCCAAGAGTATCCTCGACCTAATTATCCAATGATTTGAATTTTGGAACTCCATGTGATAATTCCATCTCCTAAAGAAAAAACATACACTAGTTGAATCTGAGCAAGAAACATCTTTAAAATGTAGTAGTTAATGAAGAATCAAGGAGGGTAGTTATATTTTTACATAGAAACTTCAAGATGTTAAAAATACATGATGAGAATTACAATAGCACCATGATAAAAGAATATGCATTTGGAAGATTGTCGGTTTTCATTAACAGAAATCTGTAACAGCAGGAAATGGGTGGGGGGAAATACTAGAACTTGGGAAGGATGCAATGTCAATAAAACTTAATATAAAGTTTATACTGCTTGAGTGACTCAGAGGAACAAAGTGTAGAACTTTTGATAGGCTAGGCTAGGTCAAGTGTTATCAATCACATTTAGAGAAATCTTTAGTAGACTGTAAAGCTAATTCAAAAATACTTGATTTAAGGGTGGAACACAGCTCAGAAAAAAACTAAGCTGGTCAAAATGTGCTAAGTTCACATCTCAGTCCCTGATAAGGAGAAAAACAATTGAAAATGAGATAAAAGAAAGAAAAAGAATACTAGCAAACTAGATATCATCAAAGTCATCATTTCCTGTTACCATTTTTTGAGTAATTGTATGTGCCAGGTAATGTTTTGGAGAATTTAATGCAATATCTCATTATATTTGCAAAACAATAATTTGTCATGTAGGTGTTATCCCCACTTTGCAGATCAGGAAACTGAGACTCAGAGATCAAGAAGTTCTCCCAAGGTCACACTAGTGGTGACTGTGATGCATCATAATGAAGAAAAGAAGTAGTTTCATCAAAGAGTAGCCTAAGTAACATAAAAAACACACCAGGTTAAAAAGTACATAGTGGTAGCCAATGGGAAAAGAAAGGAGAAACTTTCTAGGCAGATTGAAATAAATACAAGGAGTGAACTAAAATTTTAAACTCTCCATGCCTGTAACAACACCCTTCTCTTTCCTGCCTTTGCCAGCCCTCCCACCAACCCAGTGTCACAGTCATCATCACTATCCTGGAGGGAAACAAAATCAGTACCTCTCCTGTCCCGATGCCAGCTTTCAAATACTAAAAGGCAACTTTGCTTTACTCTCTGTCTTCAGGGTAAGAATAGGGCACAGAAGAAACAACAGCTGCTGAAAATCTTATTTTCTGTGCTTGTGATAGTGCCTCTGGCCACAGTTCTAGTCAGCAAGAAGACAAGTTAACTGCTGAGGAAGCCAGGGATTATGCTCTTGAAGAAAAGACAGTATATGAAACAGTATGAAATAAAAGTTAGGAGCTGAAGGAGGGGAGTAAGAAATAAAAGCTTTGTAAATGGAAGAAAATCAGTTGGTGACAAATAAGAAAAGTAAAGGCAAGAAAGAGAAAAGACTGCAAGCCTAGGCTATAATAAGTATCATCTAACCAGAAAGGGACTTTTTTTTAGCCCAAGCATGTAAGAAGGTTGTGGAAATACTGGGAAAGAAGAGTTTACAATACAGAATCTTCAACATATCAATTATTAAATGATTTTATTTCTTCCCATGGTTTTCTGGGATTGTAAAAAAGAACACCAGACACTTGTTAAAGATTATTCATGGTTAATTGACTTAAACCTATCAGTCTTCAAGAAGTGTATAATGAATAATGCACCTAATCAATAACAAAAGGTTAACAAAAATGTCATTTTGACAGGCATTCCTTAACATTAAAGGGTTGTATAACATACTGACACCTCACGAAAACACGAAACTTGGTTTTAGTACAAGCTAATCAATTTTCTATGTAAAACTGTCAACTTTCAGATGAAATATAAACTTTTTCCTTTCATGTCATTCCCACCACTTTTGCTATTCTGATCAATAGCAACCAAACTCTAGAAAAACATGTAGCTCTATTAAACACGTGAAAGAAGTGTTCATCTCCCAGTTCTTATGAACCCCGAGGAAGTCTCATAGAAAGTGGCATCCAGTTTCACCATGTTCAGTAAATAGATAATGAAGGAATTAGAACTAACCAGCTCTTGGATCCAAGATCTAATATCAAGTTCAAATCACTGTGAAAATAAAAAGCTTAGGTAGATATACCAGATGACAACCTGTTGGGCTTCCTTTTCCACTTGAAACTAGCATGTTTACCCTGCTCATTGCCTTTGGAGTAGCTAGAAAATTATCAATTTTTTGTTTCACAAACTAAAGTAGTGCTTAGTCCTGTTAAAAGCTAATTGCAGATAATGCTGTATTCTGTATTCCAGCCTAGAGATAAATAATCCTTCTACTTGTTCAACTTCTGTAAATTCAACAACAAAAACAGTTAAAACAGGTGCTAAAAAGGCACAAATATGTCAGAGGCCCATTCTTTTCCTGACCTCCCTTCTCTTCCTCTTCTCCTCTACTTTGGAACTCATGCAACTGTAAACGAGAGAAGGGGACAGGCAAGCAGGCAGGTGCTTTGTTCTCCTTCCAACCACGAATGAGAATGAAATGCATTATGGTCCCCAAAAGACATCAAAGACGCCAACATGCCCATCTTCTCGAGACTAACACTGGAATCCTGAAGTACACATCTTTTTCCATCATCCCACAAATGCACTCTAAAACCACACACTGTTATTCTTAAAGACAAAGTATCTTGACAGAGAACATGTGGTATTATTGGATGAAAAATGAAACTCTTGGGCTACATGAATTTTCCACAAGCCACTGGGTTAGGGCAAGATCATGACATCAACGATGGTGTAGAAACACTCTAACTAATCTGACCTCAGAAGAAATTTAAATAGCAAGAATCATATTGTGAAGAGTCTATATTAATGTGTTCCTGGATGCCAGAGGGTAACTGAAGGCTTGGCTCCCAGGCCAGTGGGGATGTGGAAGGGGGACACTGCAAAGTCCTACCTGGTAGGCATCAGGAATGTTGACCGTTTCTCCATGCTCCCCGACATAGCCAATGATGCCTTTGCCCCAGGGAACCTGCACCTCGTTTGAGTTCTCTGTGCTGCTGCAGGGCAGCAGTGGGGTCCCTGCATGCACATCAAACAATTTGGAGACCAAACTCTTCTTGCCAGCAGCCACCCTTTCCACCAGGAACAGAGAGCAACGATCAGCATCTACCATGAGGCAGACGAAGATGAGGATCTTGTAGCTCAGGCTGGTAAGGTCAAGGTCATTGGAGATATCCTTGACCAATTCCAGAAAGAACTGACGCTCATTATGCTTTTTGAGGTGGCACTTGTAGTCCATGGCCGTAGGGGGATATTGAGGCAGATTCACCCTCGATTCCAGCAGGGCACTGAGAATATGGGCTGTGGTGGGGGGCAGGGAGCTGGCCTTCCGGAGAAGCGCCCTCCGCCGTACACTGCTCAGGGGCTCCTGGGCCCGGGAGGTCACTTGTTCATCGTAGGTCCTGTTCACGTGGATGGCTTTGGAGCGAGCAAAACTCTTCCTCAGCTCTTTCTGAGAAGCTCTCCGCTGCGGGCTCCCATCGCCCCGGCTGCCACTGGCCCAGCTGGGACTCAGGGGAGCCCCACCAGAGTCCCCGCCACCGGGAGTGGGCTGGCTCTTGCCAGAGCCAGTTGGTCCGGTGGCACCATCAACGCTGCTGCTGCTGCTGCTGCTGCTGCCTCTGCCACTGCTGTGAGCCACGTTGCCGGTGCCGGCCAGGGCAGGCCTTGGGCCTACAGCCCCCTGACCCTCACTGTGCCTCTGCAGCCACTTCTGCACCAACTCCTGCTTCCCCTTCCGCATCAAGTAATCTTCAAACAACTCTGGGTGCCTGTCCAGGAAAGTTTCCACCTCCCCAAAGTCCAGGGGGGAAGCAGTCATGGTCCCAGACACAGTTTTCACTGCCTGTCAACACTTGGACCAAATGTTTACCTTTCTCAGCCCTCTAGCTGGTCCTGCACATGTCTACCCCACCAGTATTCCCAGCTCCGTGTGGAGATTCTGCAGAGAAGTGGATTCCTAAGGGGCTGAGAGGTGCCCCTTCCTTCGGGCTCAGAGAGTGGCTGGCACGAATCCCAAGCCCTCCTGCTCCGCACAGGTGCCCCCACCGAGGTGCCGCCACCGCGGCCACAGGTTCTTCCTAAGAAACCTGGAGCGATCGCAGCTCTCGCTCCGGCTGCTGTCGCCGCCGCTGTAACCGGAGGAGTGGACCTCGGTGAAAGGGAGGCAGGGCAGAACACGCCCCTGAGTGAGGCTCGGAGCCCGAGGGAGGAGAGAAGTGGGAGGAGTGTGACGCGGGCGCCCAACCAGCCCAAGTCCACGGTGCAAGATGCCAAGCTGTTCCTGGAAGAGTCTCTGATCCGATAGGATCCGCGCCGGGGAACACGGCCGACTCCCTATTGGAACAGGAATTGAGGGAGAAACGCACCTTGTTTCTTCCCCCTCCTTCCTCCCCTATCTCCCCAGCCCTTCCTATTCCCAGCCCTTTAACCCTCCAGCAGTTCAAGGAGGCCCCGCGGGGTCCAATGGAAGTCCCTGGCACAAGGAAATGTCGATGTTTTGCAGTAATCAGACCCAGAGGAACCGAGGATTCTCGGAGACAGACAGGGTTATTTTTCTGGGATATGACTGTGGATTCTTGGTTCCTAGAGACTGCCAGCTAACACTGCCCAACTGCTTGTGCTCAGTAAATATTAATGGAACTGGACTTACCCGAAATTAGTAAATGAAGTTCCCCTATCTGAGCAGTTCATGACTTTAACCAAATTCATGGACCTGGGATTGGAGCGGGAAAAGGATAGTACTTGAGTTAGGGACCCAGCCTAACAGAGGCACATAGCAAAGTGGACTGGAGGGTCTCAGGGGCTTCCTTCCAAGCCAGTCCTGCATACAGAGTGATTTCTCTTCATGAATGACTTGCCATCTCCTTTCTCTGAATATAGGACACCAGCCCTTCCTTTACTCTCAGTGTCCTAGGGTTTACGGATAAGATTTCTCCTCTGTGGGAGGCTTGTCTTTCTGCTGCTCTAGGGACACTCCACATCCAACTTAGTCTCATCTAGTTGGGCTGAAAATAACTTCAGGTTTCCCTTGGGCCCTTTCCAAACCTAGTGGTTAGCATAGGTGATTTGCAAGTTAAGAAGAGCAGGCAGATAACACTTTCTTGAAGTCCAAGGGTCTCCTCTTTGGTGAGAAACAAAAGCAGTTGGAGAACCATCCGGTTTCCTGGAACAGCAGAACAATCTAGAAGTGCTCTTACTGGATGCCACAATGAGGGTAATAAAAAAGGGCTGCGGAGCAGGTGGATAGCAACTTTTACAGGCTTCCACGTGGCAGGCACCCAGAGGACACTTACGCAGTGAATAAAGCTTACTTCTAAAAGATGTCCTCAGATAAGGTGTACTGAACATGCCAAGTGTTGATCACTTTAAATTAATATATTAATTTAATTCTCACATGGACTTATGAGGTGAGGACTCTTATTTTCCTGTTTTAATGATAGGGAAACTCTGAGAAGCTGAGTAACTACCTTAGGATGCACAGTCAGTCGGTGCCACAGCTAGGATATGATACATTTAGTTTGGCTTCAGAGTGAGGCACGCTCTTAGCCACGTCACCAAGTGTCTCCCACTAGTGCCAACCAAGTCCTATCTATTCTAGGATTTGGGCCACAAATCAGAAGGAGCAGAGAGGGGGAAAAGAGGGACTTGTTCAAAATGATTAAGGGCATGGCCTTGGCCATGCACCCGGCAATGCAACTGTGGACAAAGACTCTGCCTTCGCACAGCCTGCACTATGGCGGGGAGACAGCCAGTAAACAAATAAGAAAATAAATATGCAGAATAATACAGCATCAATGATAACTGCTATGAAGAAAAACAAGATTTAGCAAAAGATTAAATAAAGGGATGAGGTAGCAGAAAGGCCTTTCTGAGTAGGGGACACCTGAGCAGAGATCTGGTGAAAATGAGAAAATGAGTCATGTTGACATCCAGGGAAAAGAGTGTACCAGGCAGAGAAAGCAAGAGCTACAGTGTAATGTGTTTGAACTATTTGAGAGCAAGCAGGGAGATCAGCTAAAAGACAGTGAACTAAACATAGAATATTGGCAGTTTGGAGCCAACTGTATTAATTTTGTTGTTGTTGTTGTTGTTGTTGTTATCCTAACCTAATTGGAAACATCACTGCTTGTGGCCACACCTCTGGTAACTTGAGTGATCCATCAATAAAGACGGTCAGATTGTTATGCTGGAGCTGGCTTGTAGGGACTCCCTAGAGTTAATTTTAGCATCTCTTTCCCATTCCATGTTCAATGACATTATGTAGCCTGCAATCAGCCATGATGTGACTATTTACACATGAAAGTCAACAAATGCTATGAATCATGATTTTTTCCCCAGATTGTTTGTTGTTAAACATTTACCAGCACTCAGAGGAGAAATTTAATTGTCCACCAAATTTTGAATAGATAAATAAAATGTGGTATATTTATATATTAGAATATTATTTGACTGTAACAAGGAGTGAAGTACTGATGCATGCTACAACTTGGATGAAAGTTGAAAACAGTAAGCAAAGTGAAAGAAGTCATTCACAAAGAACCACATATTATATGATTTCATTTATATGAAATGTCTAGAACAGGAAAATCCAGAGACTCAGAAAGCATATTAGTGGTTGCCAGGAGATGGGGGGAAGGGCAGGTGGAGAGAAAGCGGGTGATTGCTAATGTGTATGGGGTTTCTTTTTAGGGTAATGAAAGTATTCTAAATTTTATTGTGGTGATGATTGCACAATTCTTTGAATACATTAAAAACATTGAGTTGTACACTTTAAATGGGTGAGTTTTGTGGTATGTGAATTACATCTCGATAAAGCTGTTATAAAACAACACCATAAATTTTAACAAGCATACAACTTGTCAGAACATAGCAGCAGTGCTGTGCCTGGAGGCAAGAAAAGCACAGAGCATCCTCAAAGAAAAGAGAGACGTGGACCAGCCCTGGGCTGCCTAGACCCATAAGGCTTAAAAAATAGAGACTTCTTTGATTCCATCTTCATGTATTCTTTATACAAGCAGTTATTTACCATGTCTTGCGTTCCATCCAGGTTCTGGGGACGATAGAAGTCTAAGACAAAACCTCTCCCTTCGATTGAGGATCTCACAGCCTATAGCACCAAGGGTGGGAGCAGAAAATACTGGGAAGGGGAGGAAAATGAATTAAGCATTTCTGGCTTGGTTTTGAGCTGGCTGTAGATTTGGTCCCTGATTGGTTTATGAGATCACAGGAAGTTGGTGGTTGGGGAAGAAAATGAGAAAGTGACAGAGAGCGCTCAGGAGATAGTCCAGAGAGCTGTGACAGATATCTGCATAATAAGATATACAGTAATATGGCCCCAATTATTCTTTCCTCTTTATTCTCAATTTGTAGGATATTATGTGTATTATTAGTCATGGTCCCTACAGGAAACAGGGCACACTCAAAGTAATTCCAAGAAGTTTAATTTACAAAGGGATTAATTATAAAGTGGAGTATAAGTAAATCACAGGAAGAGTGAAAGAACTTGGGACTCACAGCAGCAGAGAAGTTACCACCCTAGAACTGATAGGAGGAGGGAGAAAAAGGTTACCAGGACTCAGAAAGAGAGAGGTTTGTGTGGTGACAACAGCCTTGAGAGGACCAGGCACAGCCTGTCAGAGGACACTGACAGCTCAAATTGACCTCAAAGGAGGAATATCAAAAATAAATACCTCAACTTCAGTTTCCTCCCTCCCTCCTATCATGACCAGACCCAATAGAAGCTACAGAGTACAGGAGTTTGTTAATGGAATCCACTCATAGAGGTTGCCCTCCCTGATCAGAGAGTAGGGGAGGACAGAGGAAGATCTGGAGGGGAAATGAAAAATGTTCAGCCCAGTATGAAACCTCGAAGAGGTACCCTCAAGAAGTAATGGGTGCTATAGCTTCAAGAAATTTTCTGTGTAATTCTGTCGTCTTCTGCTCACCTGCTAACTCCACCAAAACTATCTATAATACACTCTACACTTGCAGTATCACTTGCAGTCAACAGAACCCTTAAAGGCATAACCCTGAAAATATATGCTATTGTGAAAATAAGTCAGGTAAAGCAAGAAGCTCCAAAGACTCCTTCCCCATCCACCCGTACCTCTTTCCACAAAATTATAAATATTGACCAAGTAGACTCTTATTGGAGAAGATACAAGGGCTATCTATTTGTAGTTTTAAGCATAAGGGCATCCTTTTTGATCAAATTATTCATTACTTTATCACTGCCATTGTCAATTAGCATTTATGGAGCAGTCAATGTGCAGAGCACTGGGTTACATGCAATACAACTTTTGTTATTACAAAGGGGGCCTTTAAATTTTAGTACTGGATAGAACCTTAGAGATCATCTAATTCTCCACTTTCATTTTGCACATGCAGAAATTGAGATCTATAGTAGACACATAACTCTTCTAAAGTCAGCTGCCAAACACAGCCTCTGATCTGCTCTTGGTTCCCTCCCACACTTATCAACATCCCATCCCACAACTTGATACCAACCCAGTGAAGCACAATGAACTTCTGCCTCCTAAGCTTCTCTCCTAATCATTTCATCTCATAAAACAGACTTTCATTGTGTGACCAATAGGCATCATCAGAAAGGTTAATGCAATTTTCAAAATAAAAATTCACTTCAAAAAAATTATAATTGCCATATTATTATTTAGTAAATAGAGGTCCACAGGATCAAAAGAAGGTGAGTTATTCAAATTCCAAAAAATTAAAATCTCTGAGCTTTAAGTTTCACAGAGATGTTTATCTCTATGGGAATTTAATGTCAGAAGTGGCCACAGTCTTCGCCAAGTCCCAAACCCAAGGTGCTGTAATAGTGGGGTTCTCAGGAAAAACAGAACCATAGGATTATATATAGCAAGATGATAGATAGATAGATAGATAGATAGATAGATAAGGAGGAATTGGCTCACATGGTTATAGAGGCCAAAAAGTCCCATGATCTGTGGTCTACAAGCTGGATATTCAGGAAAGCTAGAAGTGTAATTCAGTCTGAGTCCAAAGGCCTAAGAGCAAGAGGAGCAAAGTCTGTAAATTCCAGTCCAAGGGCAGAAGATGAAATGAGATGTCCCAGTAAGGTAAATGGAC